TTGCAGGCCAGGCTAGCTCTGACTGCAGCTGGGACCCCGAAGCTGGGGACGAGACCTTGCATATTTAAAATGATGTCAAGAGAGGAGGGGGGATGATGAATGAGCTCAGGAAGACTCGATGGCTTTTGCAATGACACTAATGAATGGAATACAGAATCTCCAGTACCAGCTCTGACACTTAGGACTGGAAACTAAGTACAAAAAGGCAAGCAGAGAAAAGAATGTGTGGTGGAGGATGGGGAGGGGGACGTGTGCAGTAAAAGAAAAGAGAAAAAGCTACACGTCGCTGATGGGAAAGAAATGTAGGGGCTGTACATTACGATTGTCCTGCATTCCTTTTTCTTGTTTTTTTTTTTTTTTTAATTTAGTGGGAAAGCAGTCTCCAGAGATTTTTACACTGAGGGGGAGTCAGTGGGTGAGACACAGAGCTTGACGCTGCAGGTGGTCTCCCAGCAGGCCGTGGGTTAAAGCGGAGCCCTCGTAGTGAGCTGTCAGGCCGGTGCAGGCAGCAGGGTGTAGGGCTTCCCTGCAATTGCTTAAGCCAGTTCCCATATTCATAGATGATCTCCCCATTCGACCCACCCATGAGCATAAGGTCCTCCACCATCTGTTGGTGCTGCTTTTCATCATCTCCCCGCTGCAACCCCAGGGTCTAAGCTTCCATCACCTCCTTTCTTCCCACAGCTTTAGTGAGGTACAACTTCCATACTGTAAAATCCACCTATTGTCGGTGTACAATTCAACGATTTTTAGTAGATGTCTAAAAATGTGTGACCATTATCACAATCCAGTTTTAGAGCATCTCCGTTGCCGTAAAACATTTTGTGTGCCTCTTTGCAGTTGATTCTGCTCCCATTTTCAATCCCAGGCAACAACTGCCCTGATTTCTATGTCTGTAGATTTGCCTTTCCCAGACATTTCATAGAAATGGAATCACACAGTAACTAGTCTTCTGTGCGTGGCTTCTTTCATGTAGCATCCTATTTTGGAGGGTCATCTGTGTTGTAGCATGTATTGGTAGCTTGCTCCTTTTTATTGCTGAATAGTATTCCATTTCCCAGACAAACCACATTTGGTTAACCTCTCAATAGTTAGCGGATGTCTGGATTGTTTCCAGCTTGGGCTATTATGAATAATTCTGCTGTAAACCTTAATGTGTAAGTCTTCCCACGACATATGTTTGTATCTCTCTTACATCAGTAACTAGTTGTGGAATTGCTGGGTTGTAAATATGTTTTGCTTCAGAGGAAGCCATCAAACTGTGTTCCAAGGGGCTCTAAGACTTTCCGCTCCCCCAGGTAGGAGGATTTTCACGTTTCCGCATCCATCCCAGCTCTCGCTACCGTCTGCCTGCGATCACAGCCGTTCCACGGAGTAGCACTTCATTTCAGTTTTAAATTGCATCTCCCTGGGGCAGCCATTTTCAACCAAGCGCTGCAAGAATTTTTAAAACATGCAATACCTGACCATTAAATCAAGGGCACTGACCTCGTTAACTTTAGATTGTCAAATAAAAAGAATGACAGCAGCCAACACAATCATAGCCGTCTGGGGTGACTGCCCTGTCTTGAACCATAAATATTGGGTTGGCCAAAAAGTACATACTTTTTTCTGTAAAAAAGGACACAGCTTTTATTTTCACCAATAACTTTATTAATTTGGATATTTTTAGTATGTTGGCTGTTTCCTACATAGTATAACATTGGTTGTTCTCAATTATTGGCTCGATTTGATTGCTGTCTTGATTTGATCACTATCAACCTCAACTGGTCTACTGACCAGTATCCGGTCTTGATCCAGTATCCTGTGATCTTGCCATATTTGTTTATTAGTTTTAATAGATATTTTCATGTGTAGATTTCTCAGGATTTTCTACATACAAAATCATGTTGTCTATGAGTAAAGACAATCTTATTTCTTCCAGTTGGATGGGATATGGGATGCCTTTTTTTTCCCACTTGACTTATTTAGACGGACTGGAAGTTTGGCAGAATGTAGAATAGAGGAAGTAAGCATGGTTATCCTTGCCTTATTTCCAACCTTTGATCCTTACACATGATGTTAGCTGTATATTGTTTGTAGATTATCTTCACCAAGTTAAAGAAGTTTCCTTACATTACTAGTTTCTTGTTATTTTTATCATGAATAATTACTGAATTTTGTGAAATTCTTTTTCTCTGTCTACTGAGGTGACCATGTAGGTTTTGCTCTTTATTCTATTAATATGGTGTATTACACTAACTGATTTCTAAATGCTAAAAATTCCATTTGGCGATGGCATATAATTCTTTTTATATGTTGCTGGATCAGTTTGTTCAAATCTGAAAAAGTTCTGTATCGATTTTCATGAGGGATGTTGCTCTGTGGTTTTCTTTTTTTTAAGTGGTCTTTGACTTTTGTGTCAGGGTAATTAATACTGGACTCATGGAGTGTGTTTGAAAGCCTTTCCTTATCCTTTGTTCTTGGCCTTTGTAAAGAATTAGAATTATTTTTAACACTTTTGATAGAAATCACCAGTAAATCCACTTGGGTGTGACTTTATATTTTGGGGAAGATATTAAATTACTCATTAAAAATGTTTTTTACTTATTATAATAGGTATATTTTGATGCTTCTTAAGTCAAAGTAATTTGTGTTTTTCTAGACATTTGTGCCTTTTACATAAATTGTCTGATTTGATACAAAGTGGTTAATAATATTCACTTGTAAACTTCTAATTTTCGTAAGGATTCTTCTCTTTTTTTCTCATTCTTTTGTGTCCTCTTTTTAAATTTCTTGGTCAGTATTACTAAGCATTGATCAATTTTGCTAATCTTTTCAAGGAACTGACTTTTATTTCATTGATTTTTCTCTATTGTTTTCTATTTCATTGTGTCCTACTTGAATCTTTATTATTTTCTCTCTTTTGCTTATTTTGGATTGAGTTAGCTCTTCCATTTCTAGTTTCTTATGGTGGATATTTAAGTTACTGATTTGAGATCTTTCTTCTTTTCTAATGTAGGCATTATGGCTATGTATTTCCCTTTAATCACTGCTTTAGCTGCATCTGATAAATTTGGATATGTTAAATTTTTATTTTCACTCACCTCAGAATATCTTACAATTTTCCTTCTGGTGTTTTCATTTAACAGATGAGTTATTTAGAAGTGTTGTTGTTTCTTAAATTTTCAAGTATTTGGTAATTCCCCAAATTTCCTTTTGTTGTTGATTTCTAGTCTGACTGACTTGTAGTTAGAGAACATACTTTGCATAATTTTAAACCTCTTACATTTATTGAAACTTGTTTGATGACCTAACATATGGCCTATTCTGGAGAGTGTTTTGTGTGTATTTGAAGAAAATGTGTATTCTTCTGTCACTGGGAATGTATCATTATCATCGGTGAGACCACGTGTTGTTTAAGCTTCTATATACTTGCTGTCTGAATGTCCTATCAGTTACCGAGACTGGAGCATTAAAATCTCCAACCATCATTTTTGAGCACTGTCATCTCTTGCTTAGGTTATTGAAATAGCTTTTCACTCCCTGTGCCCCTTCCTTGCTTTATTATTCTCCATTGAACTTATCTTATCTGACCCAGTACCTATTTTACTTATACACTAGACTATATAGGTCCCACGATGGCAGGGTTTCTTGTAATTTTTCATCACTGCTCCATCCCTAGCACCATAACAATGTCTGGCACATGTTTGTCACTCACAAATATTTGTTGGATGAACATATCCATCACCAAACAAATGGCACCCCCTGTTCTCCTAGGTAAGGGCAAAACTCCTCATCCCCACTATATGGAGGAGAAGTAGGTCGTTATTGGTGGAATGTTCAGATAGAGTCAAGGCAAAGGGTGGAGAATATAAGAGGTAACTATGCTTCTGGCCAAAGGTAGAAGTTCTACCTTTCCCTTCAGGTTTTCCCATTGGGTTTATCTCTCTTGCATTTTCTTGTCATCAAAGTGGTAGATACTTGGGGACCAGGACTAGATGTAGGTCTCGCAGAGCTAGGCCACGTCGACTTCATATTGATCCAGGCTATTTGGCTGCCTGCTTCGGGCAAAGGAATCCCTGCGGCTCTGTGCAGGTCACTGGGGTTAATTCCCAAGTAGAAAGGGCAAGGAGGGGCTAACATTTCAGAGAGACAAACAGGGCAGTTTCTTCTGCGAGTATCCTTTTTACTCCTGAACCTGAGAGAGGTAGCCATGGGTGGCTGGGCCCAGATTGGATGTTCAGGATCCCAGCCAAGCATCCTTTCAGCTTTGCATGGTTGACATTAGACGTAGCTTTGCAATTTTATCCTTATCCTGCTTTGGAGGACTCTGTTATACAACAACATCAGAGGAAAACACAGCATGTAATATTCACTGAGTGCTTGGCACATGATGTCGAGATATGCTACAAGTATCTGGCATGTTAGATAACTTCATCGTCTATATGCTTAATCAGTTAAAAATAAAACATTGACTGATAGAATTATTTTACTCATTGAAGTTAAGTCTAAGTTTTATGAACTGTTCTTATAGGGTGTGTATAACGGCCTGGAGCTCAGAGGAGAGGTCTGGGCTGGTGCATAAATACATGATAATTAGAGCTATAGGAATAGCTCATATGCCCTAGACATTAAGAAGAGGAGAGTGCCTAGGTCAAAACTTTGAGGAATTTAACATGTAGCAGCTGAGGAGAGGATAACAAGCCTGAAAAAGCAGAGAAGGGGCAGGAGCATGCAGAGGTAGCAGAAAAACTGGGGGGATGTGCTACCCAGGAAGGCATGTGTCAGCTTTCTGAAAGCTTGCAGTTCTCACTTCATACCCTGCTCTGGGGGAGTTTAACTCCCAGTAAAGTCCCTGTCATTTAATTATAAATTCTCATTAAGTGGATGGTCCTGATGTTGTGCTTGAGACTAGATAAATAGTTCTCAGCCAGAGGTACCCAGAACACTGGACAGATGGAGATTTTTGTGTTGTCTATGAAAATTATTTTACTCCAATTCTTGTATTTCCCTCTCAGTGTGACGTACCTTTTCCTGATGACCCTGGGATCCACCCATGACTCTCGGCATTCCAGTAGTAATTTGAATATTTGATATCAGTGAAACGTGACAACCTGCATTATTCAAACAGGTTAGGTTGTTATTATGGCTTTCCTGGAAATAAAGTGATTTATTTTTATTTTTTTAAATATTTTACTTATTTATTTTTAGAGAGAGGGGAAGGGAAGGAGAAAGAATGGGAGAGAAACATCAATGTGTGGTTACCTCTTGTGAGTCCCCTGCTGGGAACTGGCCTGCAACCCAGGCATGTGCCCTGACTGGGAATCGAACCGCGATACTCTGGTTCGCAGGCCCGCGCTCAATCCACTGAGCTACGCCAGCCAGGGCTAAAGTGATTTAGTTTTGTGTTCAATGTTTGTGGCAGTAAATTCCCAATGCATTTTTACTTTATTGCTTTAGACTCAATAGTAGATTTATTTATAAGCGTATGTATGGTAGTTGGTGCAGTCATTCATCCATTCATCAAATGGACAGAGCAGGCAAAAGTAGGTTTACAGTCGTTTGTATGGAAGAAATAACAAGTAAATAATAACACAAGAGTAAACTTGTGTACTCACACCTGTAAATCTTCTTTTTCCCACCCCTGCGTGGTAAGTGTGTGCCGTATGCCAGACACCGGAAGTGTTAAGACGCATCAGACACAGTTCTCAAGCTGTGGTTGCATCGAAACCACCTGGAAAACTTGTTAAAAATGCACATGAGCCAGTCCCAGCCCCCATGTTCAGTAGGCCCAGGGTAGTTTCAGGAATACGTTCCATCAGTTGTGTCCAACTTTGATTTACAACAAAGTTTTAGAACTACTGGGCTATGTACAAACATTTACTGAAAAGCTTCCATGTGATAGATGGTAAGATGTGTCGGGCAGACATATGCTCAGGGTAGAACGTACATTAAGTTTTATTATATTCACATCCTACTATCACACTAGACTGCACACTCAACAATATTATTGCAATTTTTAACTCTAATGGAATTTTTGTTAGGGCTTTAAAGCCCCAGCAAGATGATTTACTTTCATTAGTAGTGCAGGAATTTTTATAATGTCCTTATAAATGATCCGAAAAGTAAGAGAGTGCCGTCAACATACAAAAATCATCACTTCCATGTGTATGACTTCCTGTAGCAGGAATGAGAAAAGCGTCTGGTGATTCCTGCTTTTTATAAACCCTGGGGAGCCTGCTGCTGGTCAGTACAAGTCTGGTTGTCTCAGAAATGAAAGTGTCCTTTCCTTATTCCCCCCTTTGTCTATGAGACTCTGATGCGCTCCGTTGACACAGGGGTTCATACAGCATTGGAGGAGAATTCATAGCAGTCTCTACTAAAGCCCTAGCAATGATGCAAAGTGTAAACTATGAGTTTTGACTGGAAGAAAGCAAACTTTCTTTTAAAGAATAAATGGTGCTTTCTTCTTAAAAGGAGGCACTCCCTCACCATGCCATTTGCACGAAAACTTAGGCAGCGAGGGATAAATTGGATCTACTTTTATTGTAGGGACATGTGTGTGACATGATCCTCACCACACCCAGGGCAGAACATCCTCAGGACTGCTGACTCCAAAATTCAGAGAGAATGAAACCAGATAGAAGAAAGCCGGAGGCACAGCCACAGGAGAGCGCAGCCTGCAGCAGACGCAGAACCAGGACACGGGACCACCTTGCAGGCCCCTCACCGCCCTGGGCATGGACTGGCAGGTGCTGTCATTCATATTTAAAGAGACAATCCTCCTGCTTTTTAACACGCTTTACTATATGAAAGTCAGATAGCAAATTTCAGTGTTCAAAGTTCGAGACCTTAGCAGTTATAAAGAAAGAGGTTTTCCATCCCTTTGAAGGTGACGGAGCCTCTCCAACAAGTCCCCTCCCTTCCGTGGAAGCCAGCCTCCTTTTCACATTCCGCATCCTATGCACTGCGTGATCCCCTCACTGGGTAGCTCTTAATGGTATTGCCCATTCCACACACAATTCTATGGATACAGAAAGAGTTTAAGAATTTGCAACCTGACTTTATTTTTAATATTGGCTCTGTTTTCATCCAAAAATGTTCCTCCAAGCTTTAAAACCCTTCGGCCATGTTTGATAGCTCTCCCTCCTCCCTAGTCCATTGAATAAACTGGCTGCTATCCAAGGCACAGCACTTCTGTCCTAGGCACGGGCACGGCTCTTTCATACATTATGGCATCTTCCCAGGAGATAGGCATTACCATCATCCCATTCTGCAGGTGAAAAAACTGATGCACCAAAAGGTGGTCACCTGACCAAGCTCATATGGCAAAACCAGGGCTCTCTGCCCTAGCCATGGTACATACTGCTTCTACATCTGTCCAGCCAATGTTTGCTCATGGAAGACAGCACTTAAGAGAGTAGCCGACCCCTCCAAGGGGCCAATGAATGAACTCCAGTTCATCAGCACTTCGCATCTGCACTGATTTTTTTTTTCTTTCTAGCACTTGTGGAATTTGGGAACATCTTACCCTGATGTTCACCCTCCGAGGTACTTCCCTTCCCTAAATCTCAGCAGCTCTCTAGTGTGGTGAGATCCTGGCACTGTTGCCACAGTCTTGCAGCACCAGAGAAGCTTCTTGGCTCCAGTACGCTCTTCACGCTCCTGAGAGCTGCGCCCGATGGGGCCGATCTGTCACCGAGGCTATATTTAGCTCCATCTGCCAGGAATATTTCAAACTGCCTATTTTCGTCCATGCCGTTTTGTGCAAATGCAACTGCTCCACCGCTGGTTCGTGGGAAACCAAGGGCGGTGAGTGGATTTTCTGGTTTTTATTGTTAAGCTGGGAGCTGGCCCGTCAGCCAAGCTTCAAATGAGATGGTGGAGAGGGAAGAGGCAGGGTTTTCCCAGGGTGTTGGTCCCAAGGACCCACACATTTAGCAGCTCAAAAGTGGGGTGGCAGCTGCAGAGGAGGTGCTGGAGGGGGGAAATGGGGGAGGAATATAAAAGGTTTAAGGCTCTCTTACCCAGCACTCCCGAGGCCACATGACGCCTTGCCCAGTTCACAGCTGCCCCATCTGACTCCATGGTAGACTCCAGCCTCTACCAGCCCCCTGTCCTGGTAGAGGCTGGAGCATCCTTCTCGCTCTGTGTCTGGAAAAGTCTGGGCCTCCTACAACTCCGCTGGCCCTTCTAGAGTGGGCTCAGCCACAGCCCACTGAGGTAGCGGCCTTCCTGGGCTGGCCCTTCACCCTTGAGTAAGAACTGTTTGGCCAAGCATTTGAGCAGCCTTATGGGACGTTGCCCCAGCAGCAGAGGGAAGTTTGACCAGAGACGTACATAGCTTGGCTTTCCAGATGACCAGGGCTGTTGGAAAGGAATTGCCCCCAGGAACAGGGCTAGGGACGGGGCTGAGAAGGCTGACAGTGGAAGGAAACTCACTCATCCAGTTGTCTGGGGCAATCATTTTTTTTCACAGTTAGGTACAAATTTTATTTTATTTTCTCATCTATAAAACTGGCAAAGTTTAAAAGCCCACTCTCATTTACAGGGGTGTAGGAAAACAAGCTCTCTGATAGGCTGCTGGTGGAAGTACAAATTATTACAATTTTCAGTCTGAAAATGATAACTCACAAGCCTCTTGACCTGAAAGTCCCACTTCTAGGAGTTAATTCTACAGGTATGCTCACACCTACGGCAACCTTTATTTTTAATCTCTATTCTTTAGGGAGTCTCTGTCCATTCAGGATGGCTTTAATGAGGGAGAAGCTGTCCGTGGAATTCTCAACAGCCCACGAGGGAAGATTAACCAGCCTCTCTCGAGTCATGAATCTCAAGTGTGGCTGAATCTTGGACAAATTCTAAATTGTGGTAATAGGAAAATCTTGAAATATATATGTACTCTCTTTTCTACACACAGGTCCTGACGAAGAGCAATTTTTGTCACATCACCCTAGGCTGAAGGCTGGAAGAGAGGGCTGCAAGCTCGCTAGACTTCAGTAAGGGGGGAACCAAGTCCTTGGGAAGCAGAGGGCGACGGACGGGTTTGAGTGGCACAGAGACTGGGAATCAGATCTGGGAGCAGTGCCATATCCCACCCGGTTCAGCTCTAGAACAAGCTCTCCTTAAACCGAGTGGCTTAAAACAAGAGCAATTATTTGTATTATTATCTCCCATGGTCTTGGTAGGTGGACTGGTGTGGTAGTTGTCACCAGGGTCTCTCCTATAATTGCGTTCAGATGACAGCTGCGCCTCGAGTCATCCTGAAGTTGTCCCCCCACATCTGGAAGTTGGGCCTGGCTTCCAGCTGGGACCTCAGCCCAGGTGTGTGTCAGGACAGCCACATCCGGCCCCTCTGCATGGTTTGGGCGTCCCCACATAATGGGGGCTGTGTTCCCAGAGGGACAGACCAAGCGGAATGAGGTAAGGTAAACACTCTATTGCCTTGTATGACCTAGTCTTAGAAGTCACATAGTGTCACCGTGTAGTCCCATCCGAGTTGCAGGCCAGCCCAGATTCAGGAGGAGAGAACACAGGCGTACTCCTCAAGGAGAGTGGTATCAACAGGGTGCATTGCTCCGCTGTAGACAGCAAGGCCCTGGGACACCTAGGAATCCCCTTCATGCTGACACGTAGTAGGTGCTCATATATGTATTCATCTGAGATGACCACGAGGTGGTCATGATCTGGGCTGAGAACTATTTTCACAGCTCATTTAGAATGAGAAAAGAGACCCTGGGGAAGGGCGTTTCTGGCAATGCCCACCACCAGCCGCCCTGGTAAGGGGACAGGGTGCTTTGCAGCCTCCTCCTGCTGCCAGACTCCACGCCCTGCTGCATAAGGCAGGCCAAAGCCAGTGATTCAGAGAGCAGCAAAGCCACGGAGCCGCGTTCCAAGTTCGGAGTCATTGAAGCAAATGGTGAAGATGACGAAATTCAAAAGACAGAGACCTTTTCAGAAAAAGCCAGGGTATGAAGCAGTGACAGCTTTGAAAGCCGGGCTTGGTTGGGAATGACACATTTTCCCCGCTCCCCTTGCACGAGGGCCTTGGTGAGTGGCTTTAAAATGCCCTGTTAAGTTGCTGAAGGAGTGGCTGCCGGGTCAGCTCAGGCTGGGAGTTGCTGGGGACCGTCTGCAGCACCAGGGAAGCTTCCATGTTCTTTCTGGCAGGGCAGGTCCTCGGGTCAGACAGAACACACAGGGCTCTCCACCTTCATTTGTGTTTACTTTCCCCTCTCACTGTCCTTGCTCTTCCAAAACAACCGGGCCCTTGCCCCTCATCCCACGGGAAACTGTCTTTCCTCCCAGACTGTTTCCAACTCCCCATCGGGGCCCTTTTCCAGCCATTGAAAGGGCCAACCCATCTCTGGTTTGTGGCGGCCACTGAGCACCAGGCAGCCTGGCATGCCCGGAGCTCTCTCTCCACCCACTTGCCTGAGGGGGAAGGGACAGGACTCGCCGTGCCTCGGAAGGTGTTCCCATGCGCTTGCTAAATTGCAAGATTTTTATAAATGCCTGAGCCTCTTTCCAAAGGTGGGCATCTTTCCATACATCCCTGAGAGGGGGGTTGGGGTGGGTGAGGGCGTGCTGGATATTGGAGTAGGTGCCCAGTGGGCATCGCTGGAACCCCCACCACTGGGCAGGTTCAGTTCCGTCTTCACTGTGCAGACCAGGGGACCCACATTCGGCCCACTCAGCCAGGACTTGGAGGCAAGGGCTTGATTGTAGACCCCTGGTCCCAGCGTCCAAGTCCTTTTCACTTTGGCTGCTTTAGGGACATCAGCTTCTCCCCACCCCCACCCTCACCCCGCAGAGGGAACATATTGTCCCCTTGTTCCTCCAATGGCTGATTCATGGAGACGCTAATAAATTCATGATTTGTAAAGAGTTTTGTTCCTCAGCTCCACTCAGATACGCTCCAGCTCAAAACACAGTGTTCATTTGCATCAGATTTTCCAGGACACTTCCAATTTCATGCCACGCTCTGATGTTTCATTAATTCATTTAGTTACATTTATGACTAAGTATGTTTTCATTTTACACCATTTTAACGCATTGGTTGTACACAAATTCAGAAACCAGATTTTTTTTTGTCAGATGCTATGCTCTGGTGCTTGAATCAGGAAATGCATCCCCTCTCTGAGGCGCACACCCTCTCTGATGTAACAGGGTCGTGGGAATCACTGTGCCTGAGTTCTTTTATCAGCACTTGTTTTGGGGGAGAACGTTCTCTGTTCCAGCCGCTGGAAGAACCACTGTGTGACCCTCGTTGCAAGCACAGCCCCAAATATTCCATCCTCCTCACCAAGCAGATTCTGAAGCTCCTGGTCTCAGCACCCCCTCCCATACTGAGTGTCAATCTGGTAGCAGTTTCTGCCCTGAGGGTCCCCTCCCCAAATGTGATCCCAGGGAAACGTGAGGGGTGAGGCTGGGTGCTATGTTTTGGCACTAAAGAGACAGCCCTGCCCCTCCCCAGTGGGCGGCTTCAGGCTGGCTGCCCCCCCCCCCAAGGAGGGGCCCCTGCTGGAGCCCTCTCCTTCCAAACCACTGAGTCATTTCCTCTAGGGACTTCCTCATTCTGCCCTCCTGTTTGCTTTCACTCTGGAGCTCGTTCTGACCTACCATTTCCTTCCCCATCCCCACTGAGCTGTAATTAATGGCCCAGCACCTTCCAGCCTCTCCCACTGAACTCTTCCTTCCCACTCTCTTCTCTTGGCTGCAGTCTCCACATTTCGTACATGTTTGTGCAAAGCCCTAGAGTTCTTGAAGCTGTGCGGGGGATACTGCTCCTTTCCTGCAAGGCATTGCTTGAAGGATAAACTGGGAAGACGAGTGTCTACGAACTGGCACCAGGAAGAACCAGCTCCCCCAAGAGCTTGTCCTGGATCAGCCCGACGGAGCAAGCTGAGCATTGGGAACAGTAACCTTTGCCTAGTGCACTCTGAGCTGCTCACCCCAGAACATCTGCTGCATCCTCCGGAAGACAGCTGTGGTCTCCTCAAAGCCCTGGTTTGGCCTGTTGCATGCATATCTGAGACCTGCTGACCTGGGACGGTGGTCTGTGTGGTCAGTAGCAATAGGCTCCGTGGGGCAGAAGAGGCCAGAAGACACTGGGGCTTCCTGGTTCGTTGATGGGGTGAAGGAAAGAAAGTACAGAAAGAGAAAAAAAGTGACCCTAGTTCTTCTTGCAGACTTACTTTGTTAGGGAGGCAGTTCTCTGTTCCTGGCACCTGGAGGACCATGGGTAGTTCTCACTGTAGGCCCAGCCCCAGAATATTCCAGCCCCTTCTCCAGATTCTCCATCAAAGGAAATGTCATGGGCTGTACTAAGGACAGTGGCCTTGGTGCCATGAGGGTATTTGGAACATGTTCGTAGAAGCAGTCAAATTGAAGTTCAGAAATTGAATGTGACAAAAGAGATGGCCGATAAACTCATCTGTTGTCTCAAAACCTTGCATTGTCTGTTCACTTTATTGTACCATCTGTCATTATAAAAAAGCTTTTAAAGATATTTGTGGGGTGGTGGTCTTTGGCCACCGCTCAAATGTTAGCAGCCCCCTGGCCCCAATAATGTGAGGCCCACAGGATCATGTGACTGCTGATGTAGTGTTGCAGAATTCCAAACCAATGCCCTGCCACTTGGAAAACCTGCTTATAACGGCTAATCATCACCAGTTGGGTGACTTCACCAGAAGGCAAGAATTGCATGGTTATGGTCCTGGCTCCTTCCCTCCAATTCAGAGGAACCCGGCCCCGGGCCTCCACAAGGCTCACCGGCCTCTCTGCTCACCACCTTGGTCTCCCCTCTGAGGACTTCTGCTTCCTTCTCTCCTTTCTTAGATTTTCAACCTCTCCATTCCCACTGGACTTTACCATCTTGAGAGGATCACCTTCTGATGCTAAGTTATCAGGAAACTTCGAAGTTTTCTTCTAGCTTACAAGCAATTCAGGATGTCCCTTAATTACATGGGATGCCAACAGTGGGGGACCAAGTAGGAGAATATTAGATCGAAGACCCCTGCCCTGTCACTAATTGGGTGGTCTCCAGTATGTTTCTTTACCTCCCCAAACCAGCATTTACAGCCACAGAACCATGATAATCATCACTCCAGTGGTTATGGGAGAACCAGGTCAGGTGAGGTAAAGTCAATAAGAATCGGTTCTAGAGTCAGAAAGACCAGAGTTCAAAATCTAGGTTACCGGTGCTGTGAAAGAAACTAGACCATCACTGGCCTCTGAGACTCGGTGTTCACCTGTAAAGTGAGGGAAGCAATAGGATTTCCCTCCCAAGTTATTGTAAAGATTAAATGCTGAGAAGCACTACATGCTGGCAGGGAACACACACGCAGTAAGTAGTGCGTTGTTACTCCTGCCAGCCCTCCTAGCTGCCAAGGTGGGCCGGGTCCCGCTCTGTGAGACCCACGGGTGGTGCCTGTGACCAGGATGGGTGCTCACTCCCACGGTTACGGACCTTTCTTGCATCTTGTGTCTTCTTCAGTAAATGTCTCTATTTTTCATAGTGCATGGCTGGCTACCTTCTGGACAGACTTCGCACTTTACAAAGCGTTCCCCCAATATTTCTAGTACTCGCCTGGCACCATGCATAGTTATCACAGTGTTGCTAACTATATTCCCTATGCTGTCCTTTACACCCGTGCGGCTGTTTTGCAACTACTAATCTGTACTTCTTAATCCAGAGGGGACTGGGTGCAAGGAGTTTTCTTCTTTAAAAGACTACCCTACCTGCGATGGAGAGAAGGGGCTGTTGGGAGCAGGCGCAGGTGCAGCGGTTCAGAGGCAAGTTCAGAGGTGAGTTCAGAGGCGGTGCAACCCTGCAGACCAGAGCTTGGGGCGGCTAAGGCAAGGATTTTGGTGGCGGCAAGGGAGAGAAGTTAGGGAAAATAAATATAACTTGGGGAGTTTTAACTTCACCCTTTTAAAAAATTTAAGAAAGCATTTCCCCACCAGCTCTGCCATTCCTTGAAGAATTTACATGGATTCACTTACTTATTTGATAAATATGTATTGTGTTACTTTTATATGCAGGCACTCTGCTTGGCATGGGGATAGAGTAGTAAATAATGGGCGAAAGTCCCTACTCCCGAAGAGCTTGTAAGTGAGCTAGACGACAGGCAAGAAAAATAAGAGATATATAAAATAATCAAAAGCAGCAAATGCTAAGGAGAGAGTTAAACCTGAAAGGGGGGGGAAATAGGAACTGTTAGGGGATCATACTCTATATGTCTGGACAGGATCTCACCAAGAAGGTCACACTCAAGAAAAGATCTGAAGTGCCTTAGGGACCCAGGCACTGCAGCTGTTGGGAGTGGGATGGGTCAGGGAAGAGCGCTCTGGTTGGAGAGAGGCAAGTACAAAGACTCCGAGAGAGGAACGTGCCTGGTCTCCCAGAAGGTTATTATGGCTGAAGAAGAGTGGCCAGGGACACAGCACCATCCAGTCCATCATAATCTGACCTGTTTCCAAAAGCATTAGTGTTCGTTTCGGGGCTAGGATCGAAGGAGGAAGCAACTGTACTGACAAAACAAGAAGAATCCACTATAATCATTTAACGACTCCTCACTTCTCTTGCCTCTAGTTTTAAATACATAAGGTGGCCAGGCCAAAAAAAAAAGCATATATTAAAAAATCCACATTAAGTGTGAAGCCAATAGGTAAAATAATGCCAAATTAAACATTTTTTCTCCTTTCCACCTGTGCCAGAAGTCTGAGTCAATAATAGAGGCATATGGCAGAATAATCAGAATCACTTATCAAGCTCCTGCTCTATATATAGTTTCCAAAGTGACCACAAAATGGCAGAAACCTTTAAATATACAATGAAACTTAAATATTCATTGCGGCTGTTACGGTAATCACTATTTTTTTCATCTTTCCAGGCACCACCCCCTTGAAATAATGTATATTCCTATCAGGTGCTTCAGAGAAGCGCTGGCCGTTTGCTTGACAGGCAATGTGCATTTTGGCACCAGATTACTAGATGGAAAAATACAGGCGTTTTTCCAAGCCCTAAACACCGAGTACATCGTCTACGAGTTTGGATTTTTTTTCTGCAGCGATCGTCAGACCAATATGTGGTGGTTTTCTAAGAAGAAATCTATCCAAATGTGTCTCTGGACTCAGAATCCGGGAAGCCTGGGCTTTGTCACTGGCGTGGTCACAGATGCACTGAAAATGGGCAAGTCACTTCCATCTTTGTCTGAATTTCTCCATCTGGCAAATGTAGATGCTGACGCTCAGCATCAGATACTGTTTGCAAAATGTTTGACGGTCCTTGCTGGTAGACAGTATGTAATTACAAACTGTTAGATCATTTTTTCCTGGTCTAAAAACTCTCCTCTTTTCTAGAAACCATTTTTAAATTAAAAATAGCACTTTTAAAATATGGGCACAGGGCAATAAAAATTCAGGTGGTAATGGAGGGTAATTAGAGAAAAAAATGCAAAGGTCTTTCTCTGTGGCACTCCCTACAGGTAACAGCTAAAAATTGTTCTATGTTTAATCTTTCTGAGACCCACCTCCACGGTAATAATTTATTATCCCCTTATTTTTGATGTTTCAACTCCAAAGTACATGTGATAGTCCCCTCATGACAGGTGAGGGTCTTGGCTCATATTTACTTCCTTCTGACAATCACTGCAGAATATATTTTGTTGTTCCTTATTCTGCTAGATACTTCTCTAACTCTATACAATATAGTCAACCCTCTGTTACCTAATGCATCAATTTTAGACTCTATCTCTTGATTTCCCCTTATGATAGTGAGAGATTTAATAACCCTCTCCTCTCCATATGACCACTCCCAATATCATGCCTTCAGTTCATTATCTAGTTTATTTTACACTGTCAAAATGTATAGAATTTTCACTTTCTTATAGAACTAATTTTCTGTGTCTTGGCTGTGTGGTAAGTCTAAAAATGCCCACAACATATAATATTTTAATTAAATGAATATTATTCATTATATAATCAATTTCCACTCAAATAAAAAAACATTTATTGATTATATACTCCGCACCAGCACTAAGTGCTAGAAATACACAGATGAACAAACAGGTAAAATAGTTCTGCCTTCATAGAGCTTACATTTTAACGCGTTTAGACTGATAGAAAAAGTGATGTAACTCCAAGTCATTTACCCTGTGCCAATAGAAACAGAAATATTCGTGCCTAGGGAGGGGAAAGAAGAGGCAGAAGAAGGAAGGCACTACATTTTTATAACGTGTTGTTATCATACACCTTCACTTTCCCACCAAGATAACCTGTTATCTACAGCACTTCCAAAGGAAATTAATTTTCTTCCCAAAGCCATTCTTTTCAGAACGTCCTGACTTGCTAATCTAATTCAGGTTGCTAACTTTTAAAGCCTGGTTTTCCATATCATTTTTCTGGGTGTTTTGTTTTGTTTATTGCAGGATTTTTTTCCCTAGTTTTACTTTGCATTGAACAGCTGAGTTTGGTCCATTGTTATTTGAATTCCTTGTCTTCTTTTTCTCCCCTCCCTCCCCCCGTTGGAGTAAACTTTCCATTCTCTCAAGAAGCATTGTGTATTCAGCTAAGAACTTTATTTTTATTATCTTACTCCCTCATTTGGTCAATACTTTTTGCTGGGTATAGAATTATTTGTTCAAAATTAATTTCCGTCAGGCTCTGAAGGTAGTTCTCTCTCGTCCCAATGAAAAAGTCAAATGCCAACCTGATTTTTACCAGCAAGGCTAACTTGTCCACGTACTACTGCATAAGCATTAGGGATCTTTTCTTTGTCCTTGGCTAAAGACATTTCACAAGGTTATATTTAAGTATGAGTCTTTTTTGATATTAACTTTTCTGGGTACTTATAGGTGCTTCCATTCATAAAAAATATTGAGTAGGTTGAAGGTCTTTTCTATCATTTATCTATATTTTTTTCATTCTGCTCTTAATTTACCTCCCTTCTCTTTTATTCTACATTCTGGGAGATTTATCTAACACACTGGGCCAGTCTTTCTTTGGAACTTATTATTTTGATGATGATATTTTCAATTTCCATGAATTCTTTCATATTCTCAGATAGCAGCCTTTGTTTGTTTGTTTGCTTAAGGATGCGATCTCATAGTTACCCAAGGTTCTCTTTTCTAACTTGAGTTACCTGTCTCCTTTAAGTCCCTTTGCTCTGTTGTTCGTTTTGGTCTTCATCTTTTGTGTCAAGATTTTCCCTTGCTGTGTGTGAGGGAGAGAATGGACGGGTTGTCGTGGATATAGGTTGTCTCTGCCTCTTAAGGCTGCCTGTGGATGAGAGGCCTGGCCTCATGACCTGGGTGTGAAGTTAGGGTCTTGACCCACAGGCTTCACTTTAGGGCAAATAGTCAGAGGGCTGGCAGCTGGGTCTCCCCACCTCTCCATGCCCACCAGCCAGGAAAAGGGGTTCTGCTCTCAGACCACCATGGGGCGAAACTAGAAATCAATACCAGAAATGCCAGAGACAGGGTTTCTATTTGGTGATGAAAATATACTAAAATTCATTGTGGGGATATTTACACAGTTCCAAATATAGTAAAATCCACTGAATTTTCTACGTAAAAAAGTAAGGTTGAATCAGTAGTGAGTACAGTTTAAGAATGCAGACTTTGGAATAAGGCTGACCTGAATTCAAATCCTGGCTTTACTACTTACTGATTCTGGTTCTGTAATTTTACTAAGCTACTAATTCTCTCTAACCCTCAATTTCCACAACTGAAAAAAAAATCAAATAAAGATGCCTAACTCCAAATGCACACACACACACACACCAGCCTCAAAGAGTCTGGGAAGTGTCCTGAGACATCAGAACAGAAGCAGCCAAAGGCCCCCGTTCCCTCCTCGGCAAAGTGTCCACTTCGAGGACCCTGTCACTTTGCTCAAAGGTGGCTCCTTGCTATCATCTCTGCCTCAGGGGAAATCTAATTCAACTGTCACTTTCTCTTGGCCCTTTCTTTCCCTCTGAATTTTATCAATCCAAGTCCAATGTGCATAAAGCCCCTCCCTGAAATTTGGAAAATGAGGAATGAGAGGAAGAAATTAACTGTAAAATCTCTTGCTATTATGATGTTATACCCGTGGTCCCAGGTGCACTGTAGACAAGGATCAGACATTTATCAACTACAACCTACAGCTAGGAAGAATTACGTCACTGGATGTGAGACATAGCAGCGGTACTCAGATGCTAGCTGACTTTGGCACAGCCCAAGTGGATTAATCATTATGGTGTAATAGAAAGTCCAGATGAAACAAAGTTGGCCCAGCAATTTTAGCTAGAGAGGCCAGTGTATACGCTTCAAAAACAACTGGGCAAAAATATATGTAAACTGTGAGAACAACTATTTCCAAAGCCACAGCAAATGCAGGGACCAGTGTTCAGGAGACTGTTTCATCTCAAGCCAATTGGACCTAAGATTACAGCCCTAAAATTGAGGACTGTTGTATCTACCAATCCACAGTTATCAATGAAGGGCTGCTCATCCAAGAGGCAGGAAGCGCCGACTCCTTTTTTTTTTTTTCAAAACCTACTACTCTTTGATCTCAAATTGACTCTTACTGAGAAGACAACTGGAAGCCATGACTAATGTTTGGGCAGGAAGCAAACCCACAGCACTGTGGCAGTGCCACTCTGGAACCAGCCAGCCATAAAAGGTGGCCGGTTCTCTGCAAGATGACAACAATGACGTATAGTCATGAAATTTCTGGGCTCAAAGGATAAGAGGAATATTAGACATGAAGATGGTGATACAAACATTATAGAAACACTTACTAAGAACTTACTATGTCTAGAAATACTTCAAATACTTCACGTGTTTTAACTCATTGAATCCCAACCCTAATCCTGTAAGGTAGGTAAAGTTAACATTCCCATTATTCACAAAAACTGAGGATAGAGACCAAGCCTCTTATTTGGCATTCCTCGATATTGATGTCAAGAGATGTGAAGGGATCTTGTACATAGTTACTAAGGTTTGTTTTATTTGGCTTCAGACTTCCTTCTTTATAAATGTCCCATTTCATTTTTTTCCTCTTCAACATGTGTTGGGTGCTCATATCCCCCACCCCAGCTTTTTAATAAAGGTAACTATTTTCAGGGGAAGGTCCTATATCAGCCATTTGCCCCTTACTTGTTTGTCAAGGTCACTAACATCCAAATGATGGTCATGCCAAATCCAATGGTCAGCTCTCCATCTTCCTCTTGCCTGTCCCATCAGCATAATTTGACACCATGAATAACTCCCACCCTTATCTTTGGGAAACTTTGATTCCCTTGGCTTCTGGTACAGTATTCTCTCTTGAAATTCTTTTCTACTGCAGTGGCTGCTACTTCAATGTATCTTTTAGGGTCCCTCCTCTTTTCCTTGACTCTAAGCCCAGAGCTTAGCCATTGGACCTCTTTTCTTCCAATACTAGACTCATTCCCTTGGTGATTCCTTCGAGCCACATGGCTCTAAAAATAATTTCTCAATTTAAATTCTCTATCAGGTCTTTGTCCCAGAACTGCAGACACACAGAATTAGTTGTCTACTTGAAATCTTCACTTGGATGTGTAAGAGACATCTCAAATCTACTATGACCAAAACCAGTCTTTCCCACATCAGTAAAAATGGCAACTTCATCCTTCCAGTTGCTTAAGTCAAGAACCTTGAGGTCATCCTTGACTCCCCTCTTTATTCCATATTCATGTGAACACATCTTATAGCCTTAGAGTCAACATATGCCTACAATTCCATGTCTTCTCACCTTCTCCACAGTTATTGCATTGGTCTGGTCCATGCCTCCACCATCTTGTCTAGATTGTTATAGTAGCATCCTAATGTCTTCATTCTTTCACACCTGCCCCACTCTACCAGCTAGAGAGAGGGCCTTTAGAAGTGTAAGTCCAAATCCTCCAATGGCTTCATAGGCGACTCAAAGTAATGACCAAATTTCTTCACTGGTTCAGAGGCTCTACATGCTTTTCAAGTCTCCTGACCACCCCCCAGTTATCTCCCCGACCTTTCTATTCTATAACTTTGCTCACTTGCTCTAGGTCTCCTTGTTGTTCTTGAATAATAAGTCCCAGTCCTATCTTAGGGTCTTTGTACATGCCTCTCAGTCTGGACACACTTCTCCAGATATGTGCATGGCTGGCATTCTCTCTTACTTTATTTTTACTGTGCCCAAAGGTCACCTTATTAGAGAAGCTACCCTCTACCTTGATATATTGAGCCTTGGAAATTATAGCCACTTGCTTATCATGTGCAGTTGTTTACTGGTGATCTCTTCCTGTTAACCACAGGCACATGAAGGCAGGGAGTTTGATCATCTAGCTCACTAACATATCCCTAACAACTCAGACAGTGCCCGGCACTATTGAATGAATGAATTTAAGAGACTGTTACTTATCACAGGACTACTTGTACTGCACTTTATCTCTCCTTGCATAAATAAAAGCATCTCTCCTATTAAGGAACTTCAAGAGTTAGATAGGATGAGGGTGAATGTATCCAGAAAATTATTCTCTGTAGGGTCCTGGACCCTGCCTTCCAATGGATCTATCCTGAGAACTGTTTCTCTAAGGATTCACTTAGAAATTAAAGTTGATGATAAAAGGGTGACTGTTGCATTGGCTTGGGTGAGGGAGGTTCTTTCAGGCATTACAATAGGTGGATCACTGTGACCACTGGCTTGACTGGAAACCTTGTGCCTCCTACATGCTGTGGGAAGCCTTCACTCCTTCACTCCCACCCATCACGTCCCTTGGAGAAAAACCTGGGGAACAAAGAGTTAAATGGCCATGACTATCCTCTGGGGACACATTTAAGGGAAGTGCTTCTTCCTTAAAAAAACATACCACACACACCCACTGCTAATACAAATACAAAGGCCATGAGTTTGCTTGCCGTGGGGACCCGGCTGCATCAGAGACCTCATGCTGGATGAACAGAAGGTGAAAGGAAAGAGCCCAATGAAGAGGCCAAGGGTTTGGTTTGCTCAGGGACTGTTTTGTTGACCTTTGCCCACTCAGCAACTGTTGGGAACTGTTTTGTCTGTCTCCTCACCCCACAGTATCGTACAGGGTCAAGCTTCCATTAGTGAGCACCTGACTTATACTTCCTTCCCTTTTTTTTGATGTTTGTCCTTGATCAGGGTAAACAGAGAAGAAGATTTGGATGAGTCCCTGTTTCCAAGGAAAGGGGGGCCCTGTTGATGCCCCACCCTTACCCCCTCCACCTGCCCTGGAGGTCACGTGCCAATGGTTTCCACACACCTTGATGGATCCCTGTGATCTGTGCCTAAGGGCAGTGTCTCACTGTAGGACTAAGCTCAGCCACACTGTCTATGCTCTCAGGAGTGGAGAGGGCCAAGCATGCTGGGAACCAACGCTCTAGCTGCAGCCGTCAACCACTGAGGGACAGGAGCGTTGAATAAAGAATTCAACTCTCTGTTACCTCAGAGGACAGTTCCCAGGTGTGTTCCATCCATTTTCTTAGAAGTATGAAGTCCCATTAACCCACAATTCATTAACTTACAATTTATTGGCTTAACCGCTTTTCTTGTCTTACATTCTGATTCTTTCAATGTCCTTTCTAGAACGACTCCTCAAATAAATTACTGGTACTGAAATTCTTTTCTCAGGGTCTGCTTTTAGGAATGACAGGGTGAGAAAGGGGCAAATTTGGTGCCTGACATGGCCTGGGCCAAAACATGTTCTCCAGGAGAGCGAGCGCGTGGAGCCATAGGGCGGCTCGCTGCCACCTAGAAACTGTCACCAAGCGCCATGAAGGGATACGGCAGGGCTGACTCTGTTGAAGTATTTCATCACTTGGATCATAATAAGATGATTTGGTTAGTAAGCAACAAAGTTGTGTACTCATTTCTTCATTTACTTTATTAAGTTAAGTGTATAGATGTAACTTATCAATATGCATAACATAGGAACATTAGCATTTCGATGATCAGATTACTTGTCTGTTATAGGGCACTTTTTAAGAAATCACAATCATTATGAATTTAATTGATTACATTTTAAAAAACATTTTCAGGAAGCTCCAGAAGTGGGGAAGCGTAAAAGGAGTAAGTCCAGAAATCTACACGGAGGTCCCTTTGAATCTTTGCTGAGTGTTGGGCAGCCCATGCATAGAATGAAGTTGCACAAAATTCTTCCAAAAACATTGGCGAGTCAGCTGCAGCTCACTCTCCAACATCCCTGTGTCAGCTCACACAGAGATGCAGGTTTTCGGGCAAATTCCAACTAAAATCACAATGCGATACCATCACAACACCCCTGAGATGACCAAACATCCTGACAAATGGTGGAGCAAATATGGAACAACTGTAATTCTTACGTATTTCTTGTGGGAAAGTAAAATGGCACAAACACTTTGCAAAACAGATTGGCAGTTTCTTATAGAACTGAATATACACTTACCATATAAACCAGCACTTCTAGATATTTCCCTAAGAGAAATGAAAGCACACTTCACAATACACACAAATGTACACACCTGTATTCATGATAGCGAAAACCTGAAAACAACCTCAAAATGTCCATTAACAAGTGATATATAAACAAATGTTAATATATTTACACAATGGCTTACAGGCCAGTAATAAACAAGAAATAACTATTGGCATACGCAGCAGCAGAGATGAGTCTCAAAAACAATATTCTGCATGATATAAGCAGGGCACAAAATGTGCACATTGTGTGAGTTCTCTTTGAACTTGGTCTGTGTTTTGTGCATCTTTTCATCTACAGGTTACTCCTTTATTCCTCTTTTGAAGAACCGAGGTCATTTGAACAGCAGTTTACTACAGTCTGCATTTTGCTGATGGCTTACCAATGGTTCGCTCAGTTCAACATGACCCATATACTTCTTGCAAATTGGAAGCTGGATCCAGGAGTTTGATCAGACACAGGTTTAATGTCTTTGAATCAAAGGATGGCATGTTTTTTCATCAGTTGACACATAATGTCTAGTTCTTGTATGATGTTAGCAAAGTGACAATATTCTAATTCTATTATTTACCAGCTGGAATAATTTTATAGAGAGAAGCTTCTTTTCATCTTCTATTTAGTTGTCTAGTGGTACAGTTCTAAAAGGATAAGTGTTTGGTTCTCTCCTTTTAACTTGTTTTCAAGGTAATGATTCAGGTCCTTAACATCCAATTAGTTTTTTGATGTTACCAGAAATGCATAGACTTCAAATATTTAATGGTTCTAAGCCACTGCAGTTCTTATCCTTGTTGACATTCAAATTGTCCTATCTTTGGCAGAAGAATGTGGGAATGAAATGGAATGGAATAGAATAGGAACAAATTAGCTTAGCTCCTGAGTCCTTTCGACATATCCCGGGCGTGTTTAAAAGTTTCCTTGATATCTGGAACCAAATGTTCTAGGTTCATCTTGTTCATTTCATGCCTTCTACCTGGAACCAGCCATTCTTCAAGAAACACTGATTTCTTTGAACGGGAAATGACTTTCAAGACAAAAGTAAGTACAGTGTTAAAGACTGTTCATTATTTTCAAGCCTTGTCAGTGGATGGATGGATAGGCGGACAGACAGAATATGTTGTGTATTTGTGCTTTTTATCTGATATTGCCAATGAAATTCAGAAATACAGAATTTCGTTAACTGTTTCTATATTGCATCTCTATCACCTTTCTTCCACATTTAGAATACTGGTTCTTAAAGATACAGGGGAAACTATAGTTTGAATATCCTACAACTATTCATTTGCTTTATCTCATAGGACACACCAGATAGTCACAGAAAAGCATGCTAACACCACCACTGCCCATTATTATTGCTAAACAGCAGTTTAAATTTTTTGTATGTGTAATTTTTATTCTCCCTATAATTTCTCATGTACATACATACAATTTTTTCATAAGCCATCTGGGTGGATACCTGTCCTGAAGCCATTAGGTCTCCATGTAACAATGACTGCTATTCATCTTAGCTCTCTTTCAATCCCTCTTCATCAAAAACCAGCTGTGGTTAAGATACATTTTCCTGGTGTAGTCCTGTTTGGGTCTCTTTTTGCTTATTACCATGTATCATTTACTGACTAGACCATCTTTTCTTCAATTCTGCAATGCTCCTTCCATCATATATCAACTTGTCACATACATGAGCCTGTATTTGTCTATGCCTGTGCCAACACCAGATGCTCCTAATTACTATAGCTTTATCATAAGCATTATATCTAGTAGGACAGTGTTCCACCCTGGAAAAACAAACGAGTCCTCTCTTAGGAAACAAAGTTTGCAACCAAGCCTCAAAGAAACCCAGCAGTTAGATCCCACGTTCCCTGCACTCACCAAAATATCACTGCAAATATAAAAAATGTACTATCATGAATGAGAGTCAATAAAAATAGCACACCACAGAATCGCACCTTGAAAGACTTAAAATATTAGAATTATCAGATACCAAATACGTAATAAAATATGTAGGGATTTGCATTTAAAAGGAATAGAATTTAGAAGAAAAACATGCTAGGAAAAATCTCCAGAAATGAATATTGTATAATTGAAAGCAGAATTTAGATGGATGGATTTAGAATTATATTAAACACGGTTAAAGAAATAATTAGTGCTTTGGAAGGTAAATCTGAAGAAGTTACACATAATGTGGAACAGAGATGAAACAAAAGGAAGTGGGAAAAAAAGATTAAGAAACATGAAGAGAAGAGTTAGCAGGTCCAGCGTACAAGTAATCTGAGTTCTAGAAAGAAATTATAACGGGGCAAACACAGTATTGAAAGACATATTGACTGAGTGTTTTCCAGAGGGGGAGTAAGAACGCCAAACCTCAAACTAAAGTTTTCCAAAGAGCCGAACACCATAAATAGAAAGAAATATACATATATCGGAACAACACTCAGGACAATAAAAAACAAAGAGAAGATAACAAAAGCAGCCAAACAGAAAAAATGGGGAGGGGCCATCCGCAATGACTGATAGCTGACTTCTTAGGAGCAATGGTGGAACTGGAAAGAACTGAAAATAAATTTTCAAAGTCCTGTAAGAAACTAATGTTCCACCTAGAATTCTACATTTAGTAATAACCACCTTTCAAAAAGTAAAGGTAAAATGAAGACATTTTTAGGCAAAAACCCAAGAAATTTATCAACAAAACACCTTCATGAAAGGAACTTCTAACGAAGGTAGAACTTCATGTCAGAAGGAATATTTGTGATGCATGAAAACAGAAAGTGTAAATATTGACTGTATAATAGTGAAATTTATGTCTAATGTGTGAGGCTGAATATCAAGACATAATAGCCTATAACTTGGGGATAGTGTTGATCAGCATGACAGCATTCTAAGGTTCTTACCTGATTTGGAAAAAGAATAAAACTATTAATATTGAACTCTGTTAATGACGCATGTTAAGATTTCGGGGATGATTGCTAAAGGAATAGGACTAGCTCAACAGTTAGCTTTTATCATTATCATTGTTATCATTATGATTATAATGATTACATTCCAGGGATCTTAAAGAAAGAAGGAAGCAAAGAGAGAGGAGGAGAAAGAGAATGAGAGAAGGAAAGGATTCTGTAGTCCAAACAGTCTTGCTTAACCAAATTAAACATGTTTCCTACCTGATTTCTCTAAGGTTTTTTTTTTTTTTTTTTTGGCTAATGGGAGTTATAAATCCCTAAGTAGGGACTGGAGAAGGTTTGAAACATTTCCTTGTTTATTTGACATCAGAATCTTTATCTTGTTGGACATCCATTAAATCTTGAGAAATCTGACTGTTTAGGGAACCTTTTAAATTGGATCTGAATCTACAAGAGTTTGATTTGCCTGTTTAAGGGGATAATATAACCTCGTTGGGTTGAAAAGAATAACAGACTCGAATGGTCAGTCTTCTAAAGACCTCAGGTTTGGAGAGATAAGACATTAAGGGAGACTTTAAAATAGTGTTGTCCAAGGATACCAGGAAAAATGGGATGGACATGCTGCAAGCTACTTAAACTATAAGAAAACCGTGAAAGTGCCACCTCGCAAACAGGTTGGAGAGCTTCTGCCGCAAGGCTGTGGGGACTTTCGGGAACCCTGCCAAGCAGTTCTGGGGAGCAGACTTGGCACTGACAGTGGCCTAGTGTTCTTTATGAAGGAAAAAAAAGATTCATTTATTTTATAAGTCATAATACACTACCTAGAAGCTGAATTGCCAATTAAAAATCTGTTTGCAGGCAGGTGTGGGTTTCAGAATGCTGCCTCTTCATAATCAAGTAAGATGCAAACCATCTCTTCAACTACATCGTCAGTGTTTCAAATGTTCAGAAAAATGGCAGGTTAGGAACAGCGGTAATTATCGTGGAGTCTCTGGATCTGCCACAAATGCAGCTGTTCAGTGTATATACAACAGAGGAAATAAACCACCACTTGTAAAGAAGAGGTTTTTGCTCTTATCAATTCAATTAACTATTTCCTGTAGAAGTTCCTATGTTCAATGTGTCTAAGCACAGAAAAGGTGAAAAGGATTTGGTGGTTAGTTTTTCTGATTGCATGTTTTAATTGTGAATGCGCTAATGTAATCTCGGTGGGTAGAGCAAGCTTGTTTTCTCAGAAGACTCAATGACATCTGTGAGCACAGATCTTCTGGTCCTCGTGGTGGGAGACTGAAGGGGCCAGCGGAGCTGAGCTGGCCCGAAGAGATTTGGGTAAGGAAAGAAGAGATGCCTCCCACCCTCTTCTCCACTCCTGGGGCTCCCTCAGCACTTTCTTCTCTCGCCTTCCAAATCCTAGGAAGTGCAAAGCCTGCCTCCTCCGTGCTTTCCTTGATACCTGGTCCCCCTCTATCTGCTTTTTCTTTTCTAATGGAAAAGCCCGTCTCTCTAGTTCTGAAAGTAGCACAAGAATCCCACTGCCTTGCCGTATCCTCTCATTATGAGTCTGATGTCCTCCTCCCAACAGCAAGCTTGCAGGCCTAGCCGGGCCTTAAAGTTTTGATTCTCCCTCTGTTCAGTGGTGGTTTTCCTTGTTAATGAAGTGACTAATGAAAGAACCACGGAGCCTAACAGTTCAGGGACTCATTATTCAGGCTGCTCCCTGACAGTAGGGAGGTGCGAGGTTACCTGTGGTTTAAGGATCACTTGTTGGTCATCATTCTGGTCATCCATCTTCAAACAGCTTCAGGAAACATACCGTATTTTGCTGTGTATCACGCACACTTTTTTTGCCCCAATTTTTTAGGGAAAAATAAGGATGGGCATTATACATGGGTATAATAATTACATACCCTGGGTATACTAATGAGTATAATGATCCTGTGCATAATGCACACAAAAAATGTGGGCTCGAAAATACAGTAAAATACGGTAGTGCTGCAGAGAGCACTTGTTTCTTATCTGTGTTTATGGTCACATTAGACCAAATGCAAAACGAAGGTCTTTCTGAGGGATTCCAGGCCCTTTTCTGTGACAGAAACCGTTGTGAGGGGGTGGACACGGGAGGGCAGGGCAGAGTGTGGGGCTGGAGACACACCTGGCTATTCCAGCTCTACCCAGCCCCCACCTGCCACACTTTGCTACATGGTTTGTCCTTTTATTCCCCATCGCAGCCCCTATGCTTTAAAAACAATTTAAAAAATTTAAATTATAGTTGACATACACTATCATATTAGGTAGAGGTGTACAGTTAAATGGTTAGACCTTCACATAATTTACTAAGTCATCCCCCAGTAAGTCTAGTGCCCACCTGGCCCAATACAGAGTTATTACAATATTATTGGCCATGTTTTTCCCATGCTGGACTTGACATCCCCGTGACTGTTTATATCACTGCCAATTTGTCCATCTTAATCCCTTTCCCCATTTCCATCCAGCTCCCAAACCTCTTTCCCATCTAGCAGTCATCAAAATGTCCCTGGTGTCTATGAGTTGATGTCTGTTTCGTTGTTGGTTTATTTTGTTTTTTAGTACCTTCAAGGACTGCTTTGAAGATGGGCACTTGGAAACGTGTGTTTAGCCTTTGTAAACACCCCCTCCAAGGCTTTGCAAAGTCAACAGGAGGCATTTTAATTATAGTTATTTGCTCTCCACCCATGAGTTTGCAGACAACTGGAGGTCAGACGCCCTGGTCTCGTCTTGCCGTTGGGAGGGACTGGAGCAGCCAGATCAGATGGAGCTGGCCAGGCTACTAATGGATGCCCTGAATGAACGTGAGGGCAGGTGAGGGCCTAGGGATCAGAGCCCTGGGCCCTGCTGGCGTTGGGACACCATGACGCCTGGGTGAGTGGTCCCGTCTGCAGTGTCAATGCAGCAGGGGCTGTACTGAAGGAGGACCGAGCGGGCTCCTGGAGCGTGGCTCTGACTGAGGCAGAGAGAGGACTGTCATGGTGCCAACAGCTGTCCAATTTATTTCAGTGGCAGCATTTCCACGGGAATGGGAAATTATTTAGTCTCAGATCCTTAGCTGGTTTCCTTTACATCATTTCTGTATCTTTTAATTACTTGCACATGTGGGAAGCTCTAGGGTCCTCCTAGACCCTACAGGCATGTAATCTTAATAAAACGCAATTTATTAAAATATGAGCTTACCAAATTGTAAACTGTGGAAATGGATTAATTTTACCACAAAGAGATTTCGTGATTGAATTCAGCGTTGCTTTTATTAGTCCTGAATTCTCCTGGTGTATGCTAAAATTAGGTTTATGGATTTCTTTGTTTTGACTTCAGAAATAATCCGTGTTCTTAGTTATGATGCTCCATGGTGGTTAAAACCACAGTCTTTGACTTCTCCCAGGCCTAGATTTGAAACCTGGCTCTGCCACTTACCTGCAATATATCTGGATAAGTCTCTTATCCTCTCGAGAATACACATGGGAAATTTTGCAATGACTAAATGAGGTAGCACACCTCAGGCATTTAGTGCGTAGTAAGGGCTCAGTATGTTATACGCAATTCTTCATCTTATTATTAGAGTATCTGTAGATAGAGGTTGGTTTACCCACATTTGATTTAAATGCAGCTTGTTGCTTTTGTTTAAGTGTAAGGTCTGTCTTCATTGCTCGTGGTCCCTCCTGCCCAGTGGGTTTGGTTTGATGGCCACTGGGACTCCTTCAAGGGCCAAACCCACCACAGAATGGACTAGAAAAAGGGCTATTCCCAGATCCTACTGGCTGTAGGCAGAGGACCTGACACTGTCTTCTCTCAAAAATAATGTTTCTTACCGTGTAGTCCATGGGCCCCTCTATCAGAATCACCTAGGAGTGTTGATTAAATTGAAAATTCCTGGAGTCCTACCCCAGGGCTTTTGGAGTAGAATCTTTTGGGTGTTTGAGGTAGGAATCTGCCTAGTCATCAACACCCAGGTTATTCTGATGCTAATAAATAAATTAGGCAACGGGGGTTTGAATGATCCAGGGAGGCATCTGGGTGCGGAGTGGGACCCCTCCTGTGAGCGCTCATCTTTGGCTTTTTTATGTCCACCTCAGGTGCAGGTCTTCGTCCTCCATGACCTCATCTGGCCCAGGAAATGGCACCGCCTCCATTCTGTCCAGTCCTTCATCCTCTCTCATCCAGGTTTGCTTATTTGTTCATTTTTTTTTTCATTTGACCATCATTTCTTTGGTCTCCATTCTTGGGCTAGAGTTACAGAGATGGATGCAAAATGGTCACTGTCCTCAAGGGGCCCCCAAGTCCCCTGAAAAAAAGCCGGTTCTTCAATAGGGGCGCAGAGTCCCAGTGAGAGTCCCAGGCCACAGATTCAGGACAGCAAGATGATAACTGTTTTTTTTCTATAACCACATGCGATTTCTATCTTGACCCCTCATTATGCTTATAGTGAGAAGTTCATTCATAGTCCTAGACAGTTCGGGGTTCCCCCTTGCCCTTCTCCCTGGGGCTGCATTTAGACTCCATCAGTTCCACATCATTGGGAGGGACCGCACTCTCACACGTCACACTCGGGCATCTGGTGTCTCGGCTCATATATGGCTGTTAGTTCATTAGTTCGTGCAGGACACACGATGCCTTCCCATTCCCCATGAAGGCCCCTTCAGGGCCGCCAACCTCCTCCTAGCTCCTTCAGTTTCCTTCCTGTATGTGAGAAATAAAACTGACATGCTCTCGCCCTGGCTGGTTGTAGCTCAGTGGATTGAGCATGGACCTGTGAACAAGACGATCTAGGTTCGATTCCCAGTCAGGGCACATGCCTGGGTTGCGGGCCAGTTCCCAGCGGGGGACACATGAGAGGCAACCATACATTGATATTTCTCTCCCTCTCTCCTTCCCTTCCCCTCTAAAAATAAATGAATAAAATCTTTATAAAAAAACTGAGATGCTCTCCTTCCCTCCTGGGCCACCTGTCCCGTCCCCTCTCCTTGCCCACCTCACCCATCCTCAGTCACTCACAGGTGTCTGACCCTCATCCGGTCCTGCCTCCCTTTCCTCTGGCCCCAGTCCCTTGGATCTTCCAAATCAGTTGTTTAGGGAATAAAGTTGGTACTGTAAGACATTCAGGAGCTAAGCTTTTGATGCTTAAAAATACCCTTTAAACAATGAACTGCCAACTTGAGTCTATTTTGGGACACTCGAAAAGCTAATGTGAATTCATTTCCTGCTCTTTGAATGTTTTATGTAACAGCCCGACTGGAGGGCAGTGACTACGAGTGCCCTTCTGCTCTAACTGGGGAGAGGCCGGGTATCGGAATCACTGGGGGAAGAAATGCAGGTTTCTTTCCCCATACATTCTCCCCCACGTGGGCGATTCCAGTGCGGTGTGCAAGGGGCTTTGATAGAGTGGACCATCGCGTGTCTTGAGCTGACTGGGAGGTTCAGGGAAGACTTCCTGGGGAAAGGAGTTGCTGAGGGGATGAGGAAGTTTGGGAGGCAGAGAAAAAAGCGTGACCAAGGGTTGTGGGCATGATGGAGAATGTGTCATATTTGAGAACCTGCAAGCAATTTAGTTTGGCTGGAATGTGACTTACATAAAACGGGAGCTTGGTAAGATAGGAGACTGAACTGGTACACTGGCCTCCGATTAGGAAATACGCCATCGTAAAAGCAATGGAAAGTCACAGGATTTTTTTAAAAAGAAAATGATGATCAAATCTAGATAATAACTGTGGGAAGGTCAGTCTGCCATTGGTGAGAATTAACTCAAAGTCGGTGTTCAGGGAAACCAGTTAAAATGAGCTTTTAGTAACCAAGCGACAGATTATGAGGCTTTGATAGGATATGATGGTAAGCAGGTGAAAAGGAAGGGAGATATTGGAGGTGTAATTAGGAGGTAGAAGAGGTGGGATTTAGTAATGGGTTAAATGTGTGTGCATAAGGAAGATGTAAGAATGATTCCCATATTTTCAGTGGATGATGAAGTCATTCTCTAAGATAGAAAATGTAAGGAGAAGGCCAAGTTGAGAGGTGAGGTGAGGCAGGAGGAGGAAGTGAGAATGTGAACGTTTGCAGGGCACCCGGGCAGAGTTGCCCAGGAGGCTCAGGGGCTCGGGCGAAAAATCTGGGCTGGAGACGGGAAGCGGGATTCAGTTCCACAGGGAAGGTGGCCGAAGTCCCAAGCAAATTAAGGTCACAGAGTGTGTACAGAGTATGCAGAGGAAAAGAGTAATTCTAGATTCTCAGAGCTAGCCGATAGTGAGCTGTTAATCCCTTCTGTCTCTGAGCTGCTTGCCGTCCGAACGGTCCTTCTCTTGGTTTAAGATTTTAGTGCCAACTGCAGAGAATTCTGCGTTTCTGTGTACGGTTGTTGCACGTTCTGATTCTGAGAACAGGCTCTCCAACAACTGTTTTCAACCACTTCAGGGATCTGGTTGGAGCATAGATTTTCTCTCCTTACACCCATTGTCTATGAAACAGCACAGCCTTCAAGAGTTGGCACGTGGTATCTCCTACTCTACTGAGCCCCGTGATGGGGCAGGGGGTGGGGAGCAGGGATGTTTTTACAGCTCCCAACCCAGAGGAGAGAACAATGCTCCGACTGTGTGCATGTTCTGAGCTCTAAATCTCTTCTCAGAAGCCCATAACTTTACACTCTTCTTAGTATATGATGTGTCTCCTGTGCATTAGAACATTTCTTAACATTTTGATATCACAAAACACCACCTGATGATATTTTTATGCATAGGCTTATAAAATGTTTCCTTAAAAACTCTGTATTTTGTTAGGACAACAAGCTCAAAGTATTATATAATGGAAAAAAAGAGTAATTGGATCTTGAAATTCAAGAAAATAAAATTGCTTCAGTATTTATCACTATTATGATAAGATGGTTATTTGTCATAAGACTTGAAAGGATTTTTCCACTTACTCACATCACATCTGCAGGTTATTCACAGGACACCGGTGTTCCAAGGCACAGAGTATAGAAGACACTTTTGGGGAGGTTTGCTTCTGATTCTCCCCAATTCCATGCTCACCACGTGGGGCTCCGCCATCTTTAAATCTGAAGGCAATTACAGAAAGAAAGAGGGAAGTCTCCAGAAAGCTGCTGAGTTCTGTCCTTCCGTCTCTGTACGGTCCTTAATGTTCTTGAAGGACGTAAGGCTCCGGAAGGCCACAGGAAGTCCCTGCACAGGGCTCGGCAAAGAGCTGACTGGGTGACGCTCTGACAGCCACTGCAGCAGGGACACATGGAGGAGCAGTCATTAGACAGGCCACCCAGGACAGAGCAGCCAAGCTGCAGGCCACCGGCTTAGTTAGCAGCAGGCCCCAGCACCCCATCAAGGGGACGGGCTGGACAGGGCCGGGCGCCCCGGCTACCTCCTCTCCTGCTTCGCTCACACCCAGCCCCTGCGGCAGTGGCATTGTGGGGAATAACTCTCTCCCTCTCCAAGAACACACGAGTGTGTGTAATATATTGTTAAAGAATATTTATTTCAAAAGGTAAAACCATGGCTCTCCCACAAATATAAAATGACCACATCAAATAGCGTGTTTAACTCAACAAAAGAGGGAACCACTAACCTTTACAACTGGCTTGAAGAATTCCAAGAGCCACACAGAAATAGGGAATAACAACTTCAGAAATAAACTTACTAATAAATGCAACATGTGCCCCATTCTATAGACAAGGGTGGTTTTCGTTATTATCCATGTTCTGTAACTGATATGGCTGCAAGATAGTTCACTTGGATGAAAGACTGAGATCATTTTAGATGAATGAGCTGCTTAGAATAGTTTCTAGTCATAGTACGTTCAATGAAAACTTTCGCTATTATTTGTCATTACAATTACTGTGTATTTGGAATCAGACAAGCTAGGATCTGAGTCTCCTCACAGCCACTCACTAATTGGGTGGGTGACTTGGACAAGGGAATTCATCTTTCTCAGCCAGTTTTCTTATCACTGTGCCATTACTTTACAACTAATGAGGAGTAACTAGAATAGCATGTATGAAATAGTCTACATACGGGTTAACACAGAGTCCACATTCAATAGTAGTAGTACCGTTTTATTATTAGAAGTGGCAGTTTGCAACGCTGCGTCTCCTGTTTAGGTAACTACTTGTTGCTGTTTTTCTTATTGGTATAATCAGTTCAAATTCCTTTGGGATATAGTGAAAGTTTTAAATTTTAGTTAGATAAACAAATAGATGGCAAATATCTGGCAAAATGGTACTTTTTTCTGTTCTTAGTTCCAAATGTAATTATTGAGTAGGTCTTAGTATGTTTTTTTCCTTTTTAAACAGTTAAGCATAAGCACATGGTAGTGCATTGCCTAGACGTGGAAGAAAGGTGGTCGTTGCTCCTTTCTTCCGCATCAACAAAGCCCACAGCACAGGAACGTCTATCAATAATTATTTATGAAACAGACCACTCAGCATCCTGAGGTCGCTTTAAGAAACCTATTTATTTGAAGACTCAGAAAACTGACAGGAAAATCCAGAATGATCAATCCATCCCTCCCTTTATTTTGGTGATAAGAAACTAGTATTCAGAGAGGTTAAGATATTGTCCAACGTCACACAGCTAGCCGTTAGCAAAATTGGGACAGGAAGCCAAATCTCCCGACTCCTAGGTAAATAGTCTCTGAATTTCCCTACATTTTCTCCATCATCTAGGTGAGAGCTGTCGATGGAACCACTAGGCCTTCCCCTGCATGTACTTGGTTGAGAAATCGAAGCTCACACAAATGCCCCTCAAACCTCCAAACAGCATCGGGATAGACAGGACACACCAGAAAAGGAGGTTCCATTGACTAGACTGAGCCACCATGGTCAAGGGTGAATGAAGGCCCACTTGAATGAGCAACCTCATGATTTATTAAATACTCTGATGCCTATAAAATGTTCATCCACTCTTTCCTACCGTTACTGCTCCACTGTATCAGTAAACCATCCCCCTCCCCCCAGGCATCTGTTTAGGTGTGTGGCTTGGAGAAAAGCTTCCCACAAAATGGAAAAGGCTTCTTTTAGCTCAGAGGCAGGACACCAATGCGCTTTTTGGTTTCTTGTCCTTTTCCCCAAAGCACTGGATGTCTCCCTGGGCTCCTGAACAGAGAGAAGCCCTGGTACCTGTGTAAGGAGAGGCTAAAATAGCTAGAGAGAGAGAAGAGACAGACTTCGGGTGATTGGCTTGCTGTGTAACGCTCCCAGTTTCAGTCTGAGCTCATTTTCCCTGTAAGCAACAAAGCAGGACGCAGGGAGCAAGGCTTCCCTGACACGGAGGCCTGCCAGACATTGAATGGGGTTTATTGTTAAGCTTTGCACCCGGGTTGCTGCGTGCAGCCTCCCCTTTGTGATCAGAAGTACTGCTCACCAGGACCAGACGGACTGAACTCCCTGAACCCCCACTTCCTTACTCTTACTTCTTTTGAAGCTTCTTCCTAGACTTTTTTCTGCATAGCCCTTAACTGTGATTAACCCCTTGGGCCCTCATCACTCCTCCCTGTGTATATTTCCTCCAGGTGTTTGTAGCCACGATCATGCATTCTTCCTCCATCAATAACCATTTACAGATCTCTCTAGCTCAAGTCCAAATCTCTCTCAGCTTCAGATCTACACGTCCAACTCTACCATCTCTCTCTACCAAATAGCCCATGGCCCCTCAAACTCAATAGTCCCAAGCGGAACTCACTATTACCCCTCGATACCTCTCTACCCTCTTGGTTCACCAAACCTGCTCCATCTCTAATCTCATCTTTGAGAAGGGAATCTGCATTGTGTTACCTAAGCCCAGAGACCAGGATGCCATCCCTGATTGTCCCCTTTTGTGCCTCTGCTTCAGTTTTATCTATGACTGCCAACAATTGATGTAAAACATGCTGACTTAAAATAACCATGGTTTATTTGGGTCATGAACTTGGACAGGGCTCTGCAGGAATGGCTCATCTCTGCTCTGTGGACATCGGCCAGGATGTCTTCACTCAGGATCATTTCCAAGACGACTCACTGGCAAGCTGGTGCTGGTTGTTACCTAGGACGTCAGGACAGGACGCCTCAGTTCCCCTCCATTTGGGCTCTTCATGGGGCTCCTTGGGCTTCCTCACAGCACGGTGGCTACATTCCAAGGGTGTTTCCAGAGACAGGAAGTAGAACATACAGATCACTTAAGGCCTGGGCCTGAAAACTGGCCCAGAGTTACTTCTGCCATATTCTATTGGCCAAGAGTCACAGACCCTCCCAGATTCAAACATGAACCCCACCTGTGGTGTGAATTATCAAAGAATTTGGGGCTATCCTTAATCTACTGTACCCTACATCTAATCACACCCTTAGGGTTTTCTCTTTGCTCCTGTGACTTGTCATACACCGTCTCTTTTGTCTCGAACACCTTTTTCCACCTATTTCCTGCTCTTCCTTCAAAATTCTGCTCAAGAGTTAATGCCCCAAATCTTTCTTAATTCTACCCCACATCAGGGTGTAACATAACACTCTATGTTAGCATTTATTATTCTGTATTGTAATTATTCATGAGTATATCTTTCCAGCAAGACTGTGAGTGCTATAAAGGGAGGGACTGACTTATATATTTTCTATTCCTAGAACCAAGCATGGATCTGGGCCAGGGACCTCAGCAAACATTTATCAAATGGGTAAATATCTCCTCCTTTTAATCTCTCAGTGGTCTCGTAAGGTGGCAGAAGCTGAGTTCCCATTCATCTTGGATAAAAGGAAATAAACATAGCCAAGGGTAATGACATTGCCCGAAGTCACACGGCCAGCAAGATAATTCAGAAGAGTCAACAGAAGCCCAGTTCCCGAAAGCAAGTGGAAAGCATAGATCTAGGGATAAGGTTAAGAAGGCTAAGAAAAAGCCCCACCAGGAACAGACTTGGTTGTTTGGCAGCAATTGCCTCTGAGGTTATCCACTCTATTCTGTGTTTACTGGGGGAATGCAACCGGCCTTTAGTCCGCTGCCAGGAGACGAAAACCACCCAGAGAGATGGAAGATGGTCTGCTAGAGTCTGAAAAAATAGAGTGGACATGGTGCAGTGCTTTGTGCAAAGAGGAAAGGTGGAACTAATGTGGATTCTGGGAATACAGTGGGAGAGGGAGATTTTGCTCATAATTCTCAAGTGACTCTTCAGAGCAGAAAGAGACGGCTATTACCAGAAAGAGAGGCCGTGCCTACAGGCCCAAGTGTTAGGGTCAATTGGATAATTCATTGGCATTAAAGCCTCAGCTCAGATAAAACATCCCTCAAGGACATCTGCCTTTCTGCACTCCGATTTCGTGCTTAACACATCCCTTCTGTTCACTAATTTGGTTTCTTACATATTTTTTTAAAGGGAAATATTCTCTTGATAATGGATCTGGCTATTCTAGTTACTACAAAGAAGCCTTGTTCTTTGTAAATCTATACATCGCTATGGCAGCTTTTAAGCTGGTTTCTTTTAAATTTGGTCTGTTGGAAAAGTTCTCTGAATCTAGTCAAGTGCATTTGAATTCTGATTGACTTAGCTTTTTTAGATCACACAAATAATTCATATATACTTTCTCACTGTAAAAGATTCAAAAGATTGAAATAAAGTAGAAATGAAAGCTCCTTTTATCACCAGACCTCTATCCCACTCCCAGCCTCAGGGATAATAATTCTTAGGGGTCCAGTATGTAGCTGTCAGACCCTTTTCTATACATTTATAGAGAGGTGCCTATTGTATATGTTGCAAATATTTTCTCATCAGCCATCACATCTGTATTAACTCCAATTGTGGTGTCTTTTGTCAAGTAGACATTTTCTTCATGACTATAGGTTTGGTGTCTCGTTTAAGAAGAAAACATTAATATCTTAACTAGAAAAATTGTACATTCCTGTCTGACCCTGGTAAGAAATAGCCTAAGTGACCTTGAGTGAGTCCAACACTCCTTTGAGCATTAGTTTTCTATCATTACATTCTTATCAAAGTAATGAATTTTTTCATTCCCAATTCATTTACTGTGGACCACATTATGCCACACCTAGATGCTGGGGACACCTAAATGAATGTGACATTCAAGGAATATACAGTCTAATGGGAGGCGTGGGTGAAGAAACAGCTGTAGCAATAACCACGAAGAAGGACATGGGCGAGCATAGACTTTTGTGCAGAATCTCATGGGAGCTGGTGGGAGGAACCAAGTGGTTTCGTAGGGCTTGTCCAAGTGAGGTCGAAGAACGGGAAGGGCATGGTGGGCGGGCGGAGCCACAGGTACAGAGGCTGGAAGACAAGAGCGAGAAACTGCCAACACGCAACGGGAGTGACGACGGTGATGAGCTCTGAGTCTGGAGAGGTCAGCAGGGCCTGTCGTCACCCATATCATTGAGTTTAGCCTTTTTAATGAGGACACCCAAGAACGCTTGGAGTTGGAAGCAGGACAGTGAGATGTGGACTGACCTTTAGCAGAGACCCCTTTGGCCAGCCCATGGAGAGGGGGTCAGAACAGGGCGCGATCAGAGGCAGGGAGGCCATGGGGAAAGAGACGGCAGCAGGGGAAATAAAGGAGCAGCAGAGGAGACGGACGCACTGGGCAGATTTGGGAAATGCGCCTGCCTTCCCCACAGCTCAAATGTGTTGTTTATGAACTAAAATATTCCACTTCCTAATGGAGTTGTAAGCACTGTGACAGGCCAGCAGGAATATCTCTGAACAGAGAAGACTTCCTGGAAGAAGCAAGGGTTACTATAGTTGAAGTACACATTTACTATGTATTCAGACCATGCTTATTCCACCCTTCACACTTTGATCTTCTTTATATGACTGTGAACGTGAGAATCAAGCATCAGCCTGTCTGCCCTGCCCCGCCCTTTTCCCTACCGGCCCTATTCCCGTGTTGGTTTTCTCCTGTGTGTGTGTTAGGAAACAGAGGGCTTGTTGTCCATCTTGCCTCCCACTCGCAGCCCTGATATTGGCCGCCACTCACCTCACAATTGTTCACTACTTGAAAACCTGGACCAGTGCGTGAGTCAAACCCCTCAACCAAGGGGCCAGAGGAGGTGTGAATGGGAAAAGGGAAAGCTCTCTGATGTTTTTTCATCTTTTTATTCTACATGACACCACCTCTCAGAGTGATTGAGGGACTTCACACTTTACTAAAGTGTTACCCTCAGTCAAAGAGAATTATAGAAGAGCAAATGATCAGAGCTGTAATAGATTTTTGACATCGCTTCAAGGGATCAGTGTTTCTCCCTGGTCTACCCTCATCCCCAGCTCTGCTCCTGCTTCCTGCTCCCAAGCGAGGCACCAAGCGAGGTATCATGGGGGAGAGGACATGCCCTTTGCCAGGAGCAAAGCTTTTCCTGTTGTAGCATTAACCTGAATTCAGCTCGGTCACTCAGAAGTGGAAAAACTACTGAACAGCATTTCCCTGACCTGCTGCTGGCTAATAGCCCCAACTGCTCATGTTTTAGGAAATCCATCCCAGACAACGAGGTACATTACGTGGGAGCCCCTGGGTTAGCATTGTCTTCCCTTCCTGCTCTCTCAACGAGAGTGAGCCTGCCCTGCTATGCAGACAGGCTCTGCGGGGCCAAAGCCCTGAGTGTGCCTGGCCACAGTGACAGAAAACGACTATCATCTTGATGCTGCCAATTGCCTTCGGCCTGACGTTTTGGTGGTCCTTTCAAAGAAAGCCAAGTTTGTTGACATTCTTTTAAAAAAATCTTTTATTTATCGACTTGAGAAAGAGAGAGGAACATAGCTATGCTGTTTCACTTATTTATGCATTCACTGGTGGTTTCTCACATGTGCCCTGACCTTGGGGCTAACCCACAACCTTGGTACGTGGGGATTATGCTCCAACCACCTGAGCTATCTGGTCAGGGCCTAAGTTTGTTGACGTTTCTGAGTTTGGTTATCAAAGACCCCAGGAAGCCCCTCCATTATTTGGCTGACATCAATTGCATCTATTTCTGTCCCTCATGATTAAAAATAAGCTGAGTTGTTGGTGCTTTGGCCTAAAGATGCCCAGTTTCACCCATGTGACAGGTAGGCCTTAAACGGCAACATGCTGAGGACAGGTGGATGGGAAAGGGAACAAGTGGAAATCCATTGAGAAAGTTATAAAAATATATTTATATATTTACATGTGCTGTCTTATTTGATCCTGAAATGAGGGGGACATTTTGATATTTATTTTAAAGATGAGAAAACTGAAGTTCAAAGATTGAGAAACCTGCCCAAGTGGTACAGGTTGGGGGGAGAAGGTATGTGGACTGATGTGATGCGAGACCTCCGTGTTCCGACACCGTGGGCTGGATCCCACGGTATTCGCCTGCCCCTGGACAGGAGGTGCCATTAACCGGGGAAGCCAGTGACCAGGGCCAGGTGAGTTTCCAGCTTGGTTTTGAAGAAGGGGAAAGATGAGATCTGGCAAACAGAGAAGAGTGGCGTTTGCTTTGGGGGTGGGACAAGGGATTTATTAAATCTTGCACATTAAGTGCATCTGATTGGGAGATAGCATTAGCACAGGGAACTTTTGTGTTTGAGCTGCAATCAGCTTAGCATTATGGACTGTTAGCCTCTGGGTCTGCGCACAGTCACAGCGTTGAGTACCATGGTCTCCAGTTCTGTTAGGAACTGGGAGCTGAGGAAAGCCAGGACTGCCGTGGGCTGGACAATGGGAACCTGACTTTTTCTTTTCTCTTAGAGCTTGAAAGAACCCCTGTCAGGACCAGGAGCATCAGCTGGGCACCGTGGGGCTATTTGCAGCTTGACAGCCTCTGCTGAATTATTGATGTCCCTCACCGGCCCTAGGACCTCCCCCTTGTTAACAAATCTCACTCGGTATTAAAATTTAAAAAGGCAGATGAGTGCAATCTCTCGCCCTATTATTCCCCTCTTCTTTTACCATCTGAGCTCTCATTTTTAAGTCAATCAGCCTGAAAGGCTTCCCTTGGGGGTTGGCACAGCTCAGAGAGCCAAGTTCAGGACAAGAAAATTGAAGGCCGTGAGTAGGACTGTGACTTGAGTCTGGGGTCATCTGCAGAGCCTGAGCTACTCAGGGCTGGGGAAGCTCTGACCCACGTCTTTTCCTTACAGTAAGGAGAACTGCCTGTATAAAAATCCTACATGTATCAATGTTGTATTTTCATAAGAAACACATAAGAAAAACATGTCCAATTTTCTGACTTCTACTGAAAATCGGCAGCCGTGGGCTTTCATTTCCACATTGTGCCATGTACAGGGGCTGACAGTGGCTACTCCTGTTAATGAGGACTGGCCCCTTCGCTGGGCCTCAGTTTCTGTCACTCCCTCCTAGTGGCTGAAGCTGTGACCCTCGGTGTCAAAAAAGATGGTGTACACATTTTTTCACGTGCCTACTTAGGTCTGTGAGTGTTACAGAACAGAGGTCCAAGGGGGGGCAATATTTGGCCCACCCAGGGATGCCAAAAACTGTTACAGAAAACAGGGGCCCCTCCCAAGGATGGTATACTAATATCTACCGGGCTCGTCTGTCCACCACCAAAGGAAAGACATCTCTCAATGCCATAGATTTGTGAAAAGGAAAGGAAATGTTTATTTAAAGCTGTACAGACTTAAAGTAGGGACCCAATGTCCAATATATCAAAGTCCTTTAAGATAACCACAGATGCCCTAATTCAGGGTACCATATCTCAGGAAAAGAAGCACAGGTCTGTGTTTCAGGCTGCTGGTACTGTCAGCTGTATTGCCATCCAGGCAGGGTACCCAATTAATCCAACATCATGTGGTACCTTCTCATGGTCCACTGGCAAGAGTTCTTTGTACCCATTTTTCCAGGCAAAGTCTCTCCTGCTTCCTAGGCCACATGGCCAAAGGGAGCACTCCAAGGCCTTGTGGGCATCTTTTACCAAAGCTGCAGGGGTCTGCACTCCACCAAAAGCATGTGGCTTTCTTCTTCACCTGGCTGCAGAGGTCCCCACTCTGACAAAGCCACGTGGTTCTCTTTCACCTGGGCAAGAGGGGGGTCCTCACTCTGCTAAAGCTGCGTGGCTCTCCCTCCAATGGCTGCCGCGTCTGGGTTTAAAATCTTTGCACCAATCTTCCTCTGTACCCCTATTTCCAACTCCTCCCATGATCAGTTATACCTGCCAGTATTTCTGTATTATTACAACTTTACTGGGCTGCCATCGTGAGTCTGGGCAGGTATTCCCATGTCCTAGAGCCAATCTTCTCCAAGGTCCCATGCAGGCACTGTAACTCAGAGGACCTGCCCCCCAGTTACCTCTTGGGGGGAAGTGACTTCATCCCTGTGGCTCCAAGCCTGGACACAGCCATTTAACATATCCAAGAGACCTGCCAAAGGCTATAGATACATTAAATAACCATGCCATGGATTAGCTGCAAGGCTGTGGCTGTATAAAACAGCCCTGCATGTTCCTGCTCCATGTGTCCCTTCCCCCAACTCACACCTGTGGGGGTGAGGACATCTTATATGTCTCTCCAATAATTCCTATATACCTTGAGTTCTGGACACCATTCCAAATCTCTTTTGGGGGCCCCCCTCTTGGCTGCACCCTGTATCATGAGGACTGCCTGTAGTGCCTCAAAGGGTCTGATCAGCTGTGGGAGGCTGAATCGCAGTCCCCAGTGGCCTGCCTCCCCTCCCCTGACAGAGGGTTGCGTGTCTTTGAGCACTGCTGTGTGGCTGTGTGCGTGGATCATTCCAGCAGAAGCTTTCAGAGGCATCGTGGGTCAGCACCAGCTCCCAGGCTCCTTCCCTCTGCCTGGGGAACAGCACTCCCTATGATCCTTCAGCCTGGGCCCCAGAAAAGGGAAAGCACACACGGTACAGACCAGCATCTGACTCGGAGCTGAGCCACATACGGGAACAGAGCAGCAGCCAACTCCCAGCCTTTGGTGATGGGAGCCACTGAGAACCGGGGGCATTCCAGCAGGACTGGGCTTGCTAGGAAAGGGTCGTGTGATGGAAAAGCAAGGTCTGCCTCTTTCTGAGGAGAGAAAAATGATGGCATTGGGGTTTTAATGTTAGTTTCGATTGTCTTTAATTAACAGTAACCTTGGAGGATGCTGGAAAAACCATGGTGGTGGATCAGAAGAACTGGATTGAGTTCCTGAATGACCATGTTATAAAATTTTGAATAATTTTCCTTACAGTAAAAAGAATTGCCTTTGTAAAAATTCTACACATATCAACGTTGTATTTTCAGTTAATTTTGTAACAGTAAAGAGGAAATTGCAGAGTACTTGTCATGTAAATGGTGTCTAGCATCCGATTGAGTCTTTGCTATTGTCTTCTTGTGAGGATCAAAAGGCCTAAGTGTTTAAAGAATGCTTCGGCAACATCAAGTGATGACAAACTCTGGTTGTCACTGGTTCGCAGCCCCTGACCCTTCCTTGTTCTTCAGGCCTGGAGCACTTGGTTTGTGCTCTGGTTGTGTGTGTGTGTGTAATCACTACCAGCAAAGAAAGTCCTGGAGAGAAGGGATCCCACCTTGGGTCAAGGGTGTCCAACCCATGGCCCATGGGCTGCGTACAGCCCAGGATGGCTATGAATGAAGCCCAAACACAATCATAAATTTACTTAAAACATTATGATTTTTTTTTGTTTTTGTTAGTGTTTGTATATTTAATGTATGGCCCAAGACAACTCTTCTTCCAAGGTGGCCCAGAGACACCCAAAGGTTGGACACCCCTGTTATACCTTTATGTCTTGCCTCTTGCCACTCCTTGCACAGAGCTAAGACCGAGTGATTCCTGGCTCCATGAGTGAGCAAGTCTAATCGATGACCTTGGCTCTGGCTGTCTCTTCCTTTGCAACCTGTCTCGTGGCCACAGCGCCCAGTATGTGCAGAGTTAAAAGAACACCAGTTCCATGCTTGTGGTGGGTGCGATGTCCACAGGCCCCAGTGATCTGTCTCGTCTGCTCACAGATTATTCAGAAAAGCAAGGTGCGTGTAAGAATGGTTTAAAACTTCCTTCGAAGATTTTCTGAGATCTGAGTAGGTACTCAGTAAATAGCAGCTACTATTATGGCGATTAAAACCATAAATATTATGACCAGAAAAAACATCAGAAGTTAAATCCAAAATTAAAGAAAGGAAAACCTTCCTTTTTGCCCCATTCCTTTAAATCCCCTCCTGTCCCCCCCCCCAAAAAAAAAGGGTGAGGGCAGGGGAACCGCATTGCTTGGAGAAGGAACACAGAGAGGCTGAGACTAAGGCACAGGTGCGTAAACGCACCCAGTAATTACCTCATTAATATCAGCACCAGTAGGGAACAGGCTTATTCCATAGGCCAGGACCGGCCCAGGCTCCTTCCTGGGGCCTCCAGCCAGTGCGGCAATTCCTCTGAGGTGTGGGGCCGGCCCGCAGTCCTGCCCCAGCCCCCAGCTGTGCTGGAGGAGCCCCGACCACCGGGGCACCTCCATCTAATCCCACCTCCAGTCCTCACCTCCCTCTAATCGCCGTAGGTGCTGACCTAATGGCACCTCATGTTAACCTCCACATCTGTTGCCCCATTTCGAGGCCAGCAGTGCTATAATCTTCCCTTAGAATCGAGTGACTGACGTGTGAAAAAATTGCACGATTTGCCAACACTTTTTTTCAGCACAAGACAGTGAGGGAAAAAGTGGTTTGACAGCATGGATGGACCTCGAGGGCGTTATGCTAAGTGAAGTAAGTCAGACGGAGAAAGACAAGTACCATATGATCTCTCTTATAAGTGGAGTAAAATATATATTAGTATAACAAGCTCATAGATACAGAGAACAGATTGGTGGCTGCCAGAGGTGGGGTGGGGATGGGGGAATGGGGGAAAATGGGTGAACTGTTCTGTTTTTGGTTCGTTTTTTAGTTTAAATAAGTTCAATTATATATATATAATAACATAAAAATAGACAACAAAAAAGGAAAAGTGGGGAAAGACCCAGCTCTCAGGCATGCAAACTGCCCTTGGGGGCAGCCGAGTACACTTGTTTTATTTTGTGACTGTCCTTTGCAGCTCTCTTGGAGCCTTCAGGAAGGCTCCGTGTCCCCAAATCCCTAGTGGGGGAGAGCCCACTCTCAGGACTGTGCTCTTCCTTTCCGACCACAGTGATTCCCTTACCTTAGCAACTGCCCCGCCCCCTCCGTCCACCCCACCACCCCACGTGCACCTCCCCTTTACAGATAAGGGGACACAGACACGCTGTGTTTGGAGTGACTTGCACAAGGTCAGTGAATGCACTGGTGGCCGAGTCAAGATTTATCTAAAAAAACAACAACAAAAAATGCTTCTTATGGGGTCTGTCAGACTCCAGCCTGGGTCCAGGAGAATCTTCTTACAACCACTTTTCTCTTTGGCTCCCTTGACAGCTCCTAACTGGTGTTTTCTTATTTAACTGCAGTTAACTCCTGAACAACATGAGTTTGAACTACAGGGTTCTGCTTACATGCAGGTTTTTTTTCAATAAATACAGTTAATTGCCTGTCGAATCTGTGGGTTGGGTTTCACATCCGGGGATTTAACCAACCAGGATTGAAAACAGCATTTTCTCATTCCCGCCCATGGTTCCCCACCGGATTGGAAGTTCTGTCTTCAATCTGTGATTGGTTGAACCTGGAGATACGAAGGGCCGGCTGCAGAGTGGAAAGGGAAAGGTGGATTTTTGACTGTGGGGTCGGCGCCCACTGAGCAAGCCCTGTCACAGGTAAGAGAGACCTGTGTTGTGCCAGTCTCTGCTCCCACGACCAGGTTCTTGAAATGGGATCGTTACTAACCATACCAGAAATCACAGGCTGAAGAGCCATTTTATCTTTAGAGTTGATTTCCTCTTGCTCCGCGCCATGGCCCAGCGAGGGCCGGGCGGCGTTCAGCACAGAGTAAGCACATCACTGCAGCCTCTCGGTTGTACATACCAGCTGTCTGATGTGGGTGGGAGCTCAGGGGTGCAAGCTGTGGGCAGGATTAGGGGTGGGTGGAGGAGCAGGGGCTTTATACGGAAAAGGTCAAGGGAAGTAGTTCTATCCTGCAATAGACATTGTCTAAGCTGTAAGACAAATCATGTACCTTGTCTGTGCTTTGGTTTCTTCTTGGGTCAAATGAAAAGGACACTCATTTTAATTTTCTTGTTTTGTCAGTAAGTGAAAAATATTTTCTTTTAGGTTCTTGAAGGGGCAGGTAAGCCCTGGCATGGGATTAGGATGGGTTTACTCAGGTGTGCACTGGCTTGCTGCATAGTAACCCAGGCACCTGGGCCAGATTGCTTAATCTCATCAGTCTGCAGCCCCTTCAGCTACAACAAGGGAACAGTGGTTAGTGAAAACCTCATAGGGGCTGCTGTGAGGTTTGAATGAGTCTGGCCTTTCATTGGTGCCGAGGACAGTGACAGCAATCAGAGCAAAGATGAGCTCGCTCAGGCGTCTGGAGTTTAGGGCCTGCTCTCTTCAATGCCTCATGGCATTGGACAAACTTAAAAGTTAAATAAAAGAGCAAAAGACAAAGGATAGCAAGAGGCGTTTGGAAAAAGAACAAAATAGTAAATTGCCTTCATCGAACATCGAGATTTCTTACAGTGTTACAGCAAGTAAGAGAGATGGTACTGGTGTATAAGTAGAAAAAATAGACCAATAGACTAGCCAACAACAGCAAACCCAATAATACATAAGTAAAAATCTGGTAAAGCAGAAAAAATGATGGCCAATTAGTTCACCACATGGAGAAAAAGAAAAACATATCACACTAAAAATCAATTCCAATTGCATTGAAAAGCTCTGCTTGAGAGCAAAAAAGAAATACTCTTACAAGAAAATATAGAAAAGCCTTTTTAACTCAAGGGCTAGGGGATGATTGCTTAGACAATACATAAAAAAGAAAAATCACAAGGAAAAATAGCGACAAGTTTGAGTACACTAACGTTAAATTTAAAACTTCTATTAATGAATAATACTACAAATGAAGATTAAATGTGAGCCTGAGACTAGGTGAAAATATTGGAAACACAAATAACTGATAAAGGCTTAGTATCTAGACTTTAAAAAAGAATTACAATTCATTCAGAAAAAAAGAAAAAGAGAAAGCAGGCAAAACATAGGATGATAGCCATTAATTGCCACTGAACCTATGAAAAGATGCTCACACTTCCCGATAACTAATAAAACACAAAGTAAAACAACCATAAGATAGCATTAGCCACTCATTATGTAGACCAAAATTTTTAAGTCTGGGATATAACAAGTGTAAGCTCAGGCATGAGTAGATAAAAATTCTCTCATACTACTTTGTACCTAGTTACAATCGATTTGAACCAGAGATTCCAATTTAAGGCATATAATCTAATGAAACTCTATCACATTGTATGGGAAATGTATAGAAGAATGTTGATTGCAACACTGTCAGTAATAAAACAAGCACAAGGGAAAACTACTTGAATGACCATTAAGAGTGGGTGAGTTATACCATAGTCATACAGTGGAATATTACATAGGAATTAAAGTGAATGGACTAAAACCACATGGATTAAAGTGCAAAAATCTTCAAAACATAATGTTGAATGACAAGAAAACTACAGAAGAATAGGCATAATAGAATGTCATTTGTATAAAGCCAAAAAGGACATAAGACAGTCCTACTTCCGCGGTCTCTGCTACTTATGGATTCCCATGTAAGACCTAAGTGAAGAGCAGAACAAAGTGTGAGTGGGAAAAATTCCCATCAGATTCAGGATGATGGCGGCCTGCAGGGTGGCTTGGAGTAGGTGTGTGCAGAGGACTTTGATTACCATTGTAATGTTTCTTTATTTCAAAAAATCAAAAGCAAATAGGTTGAAATGTTAAGATTGGATAAAGTTAGATGGGGGCAGACATGTGTTCATTATTCATTTTCTCTCACGTTGTACATCTCTACAAAAATTCTGTGATCCATTTTTAAAGATTTTTAAGCTCTGGCCAGATGGCTCAGGTGGTTGAAGTGCTGTCCCGTACACCAAAACCACTACGGGTTTGATCCCCGGTTGGGGTGTGTATGGGAGGCAGCTAACTGGTTGATGTTTCTCTCTCACAACAACGTTTCTCTCTCTCTCTCTCTCAAGTCAATAAAAACATATCCTTGGGTGAGGGTAAAAAATTTTTTTAATTGGTTTTTACTTTCAACACAGAGGAAAGTGGGAAAATACTTGTTTGCTGTTAGAGCACTGATGTGTTGGGTTGGCCAAAGGAGTCCGTCCGGTTTTTTCTGCACGATGGCTCTGGTAGCACTTAGTTGTCTTGAACTTCATTCAAAACAATTTTGTTAGACTGTATTGTGACAGCTGTCATATCAGTGTGCATTTTTTAAAAAACTTACAAGATTGGTGAATTTTTGTGTAGTCATTTTAATGTTGAAGATGGAAGAAAGCATCTGTGGTATATTATACTTTATTATAATGTAT